AGCAAGACGATACTAGCCAACTTACCAGAAAGTGTGGCTATACCTCTTTCAACCAGATTATATTTTGATTGCCCCAGAGCATGTGTACGTACTGACAAGTAATCAAGATCAAATTTTTTAAAAATTTTACAATATGATTCAATATTTTTAAGGTACCTGAGATTTTTGTCAGATCCGCCATCAACTATTAACATCCAAATCGGGTTTATATCATTGTTTACTTTTAGTACTTCAAAATATTGATCATTAGCTGTAAGATAAGGAAGATCTTCCATATAGGTAATAGATAATGTGCCAACTGACCATTGAGATCTAACAAAAATTACAACTTGTCCTGTCTGAAAATCATCATGAGTTTTACTTGATTTAATCATAAGGTAAACTGATGAAATGAGTTTTTGGTTACTTCTATGTACAAAGTCATGGTCAGATATCTGAACTGGTTGAGAAGAAGATTGTAAGGTATAAAACGTTCTACCAACTGCAGCTACCCCCAATCCTATTTTTGCCTTATCATCCTGGGAGATAATTATAGAAAATTCTGCAAAAATTTGTGTGAATTGTCTTGCTCCTTTTACAGAGACAAGACAATAATGGCCATCAGGATAATACTTTGTTTTATTACATGAAACTCTAGCCATGACCATCTAGGCAGGATAGTGATACGTCTTCGCTGCAATTGAGTTTGAATAACAGGGGCAAAAGGTAGTTATTTGGAGTTGTTCTGGCCATATAAATACCATAGTTTTGTTCAAGATTTTTGTATAGGTGATTCATAATTCTTACTTTAATAGCTTCTTTCCGTCTACGTATATCTGCTAACCTATATTCGACTGAATCATGAATATGTTTTATTAAATCTGAGTGCTGAAGTAAGAATGATGGTCTGCTATATTTGTCATATCAAACAACTTCTTGTTGTTCTATTATTGCTTTGGTTTTTTTAGAATGATATTTAGACTGATACTCTGCATTTCTTTTTAACTTTTGTATTCTTTTCTCATATGATTGAATATCAGTTTTTAGATTGTTAATTCTATTGTATAAATCATGTAAAAGCTGTGAATCAGTAGTAATATTATATATTTGTTCCAGCTTTTTAACTTTTTTTTCAGCAGCCTCTTTAGAACTAGCCATTTGTTGTTGAGCTGTTGCATTACTCTGAATTTCTTCTGTAGGAATTGTTGTTAGTATTGCAGCACGAGAGGAACTAGTGATTGTAATTTCTGATGAGTTTGTTTTTTGCGATGAAGCAGTGAACCTGATGAATTCTTTTAATTTAATAGGCGTAGTTAAGTATTCTTTTATAGTATTATCAAGTTTAATGTCATCGAATTTTTTAATATTTTGCTATTCTTTAGTGGCAGCATCACATATGTTTGATCAATTTGGGGTTGGGTTTTCATTTTTTACCATGAAATAGTATGCAAATACATTAGTAAACTGCTGATATTTGGTATTAAAAGATTTGTATATATAATTTTTATCAAACTTTGGACTAAAAAGAAAGATTTGTCAACTCATTATGTTCGATATTTGCATGACAAAATGAGAATATTAATCAAATTTATTTGATTTTGAACTTTGATTATATAAAATAATTCTTTTATTACAATTTAATATTTCATTGAGATAATCTTTTCTACGTAAAATATTAGTATAGATAAGTTGTGGCTGATCTTGTACTATACAATCGAGAGTTTTTTCTCATTTTATGCATAGCCATCACAACTTTTTTAATTATCTCATTGATAGCTCATAAAGTAACAACCTTGGGCATTATTTTAAAATATGAATCCTCGCTCTGGTTCAAGATAACGTCTATGGATATTCCAAAATTACAATATATCTGGTGATTTACGCATAGCAGTAATCGAGAATGAAATTTAGCCTTATCAAAATGACGCCAATTACTAAAAATATGCAGACCCTAGTTATTGAGATCTTACTGTTGAGTCTATTTGTTTTTAGCCCTAAATTCACAGGTTTGAACATGGTATACCATATATTTTTTCCCTATAAGTAATTTTTTTGTATTTCTTTAATTATCAACCTTGCTATTATCAAATTCAGTTTAGATTCTTTTTTTTTGCACAAACATTGATTATCATATTAAGGGGCTATATAATCACGTTGTTTGATTATTTTTCTTATCTAATTGAAGTAAATAAGGAATTTCATACAAAGAGTTATTTAAAGATTAAACACGTAGCCTTGTTTAAAAAACTTGATGAGTTTTAAGGCTGGAACCTTCGATCATTCGAATATTGAGTAAAAGTTTATAGTAGTGGTTTAATTTAGAATCTTGAAAATTTATAGACGTTATCAAAAAAAAATTTTGAAAGCATCTGAGTTGTCTTACCAGACTTTCCTCTAATTACGTACTAATTTGATGATATATTGGTTATATGTACGTAGCAAATTAATGTTATATTACAAATTGGTTAATAGCAGTACGTACATGTGTTTGATGTTGCACCAGGTATATAATAAAGTAGTATAGTACAGAAATATAAATTAGGACAGACGTGTAGAAATCAAGATAGTATGTACAGCTTGTAAAAGAAAGATTTTGTCAAGCCCATATTGCTTTTACTAATTACCCATGAAAAAAGGACAATACTAGCGCTCACCTAATTCTGAATTTTACAATTTCGTATATCTGTCCAAATTTATACTAGCATACAGTACTACTTAACTGAATACCTGTTATTAAGTGATTAAATATCTTTGTCAAATTTATGTACGTACGTACATATATACAACTACATATGTACTATCGTTATTTTTTTGAGTTTAACCAATAAAGTAATTTTATAGAATAAATTCAGATTTCAATTTAACAATTCGAATTTAAATTCGAAGCTAAAGAATTACTAATTAAGAATTCAAAAACAAGATCCGGTTCCAAACTCTAAAAAGCAGTCATTTACTATTTTAATTTAGATAGAGGGACCACTATCGGTTAGATTTGAATTTTTTTTTAATTTAATTGTTTCTTATTTATTTTATTTATTGTGTATTTTTTTAAAAATTTTGCTGATTTACAAATGTCGAAATATCTGTACTATATGTAGTCAAATTAAAAAATATAAAAAATAATAAATTTTTATTTAACCTATATGAATTTACTAGTTTTGCTTAAGATAAACTATTTGCTTCGTGATAATATTATATATAATGTGCAAAATTGTGTATATCAAGGACAAATAAATTTGAAATTTAATATTTAACATTTATCAAATCTAGTCTCTGATTGTTAAAATATATAATATATCTAAGCACTGCCAAGAAAATTCTATTTTCAAGTTTTTATAAACAAAATGCATTTTTTCTTATGAATTAAAAAATTAACTATTGATATACTACAGATTTGAATTAGAGATATGTTAAACCAATTTAATAATGAAGAACCAGGAATTGTGCAGTTTAATGGTTAGTCCTGACTGCTAGTGTTGACCTCGGCCATAGCAGACAGGTTCTCTGAACCTAATCCGGAAATATGTGAGATATAGAAGGATTAGGGAGGTACCCTT